CACGCACGGTGTCGGAGTCTAATTTCTTTAATGCTATATGGAGAAACACCACGTCCATGAGGTCATTAAACTTCAAATTCTTAAGTGCAGCCACCGATGCCACAAATTTATCGAGAAACTGCTCTAAGCCGTTGATGTTCGCGGATGATATAGGTTTAAGATCGAATATCTGGTTCAAATATTCGGAAGCTAACATTCTCCTATCTTCATATTTAGTTTTAAGCGTTTCAAATATTAATACGTAATTGTTTGCTGTAGGTGTAAAACCCGAGCAGATCGACTGTGCTCTGCCACTAAGTTTACTAATTAAGTAATATAATTTTTCAGCGTCCGATAACGATGGGTTGTTGTGTATATTGTTTTGAAAACTACTGAAGAAGAAGGGCCACGTCTTAATATCACCATTGAATACCGGAATATCTATTGGCGGTAACCTAATTGAGTCACGAGGGCGTACCTGCATTTCAGGCTTCGCTTCACCTTGAGATTGTAGCAATTTTGCGGTTCTCTTCACGCGACACAACATATCTTCGAATGCCAGCAGCGGTTGGTAGTTCACTATGTATTTCGGGTCGGTTTGTAGTTCCGAATGATTAATTTGATCTAATATTCTTTCGTAATCTGTCCGCAAATTATCTATCGTTTCGATTTAATTTAAAAAAGGCCTCCCGTACTGCCTCTATATGAATGTTCTTTATATAATCACTTATATTCTGCATACGCGAAAAGAGTATGTCCCTCTTGGCATAAAGCGTTTTAATTTTGATTTCGCTTCCACTAACTGCCATTTTAAATTATTATAATAAAGTTATATTAATCACAATTAATCTCACACGCATAAACGACGTAGGATGAATACTCAGCGTGCCGTATTACGTAATCAGATCGAGCGCCCGATGCAGTCAAGGCTACGCGTCGTTTGCTAAACCTAATAATTTTATAAAATTGTGGGGTAAGCGTATCAAACGGTTGCTATCACGCCGTTTCAATTATTTAATAAGCTTTAAATTTAACCAAATACGAGCGCTATTAAATGAATAATTCTGTTTGCGAGTAACAAATCAAAATTTTAATTTAAACGAACACTATTTAAGTCTATTCTATAAATTAGAGTGCGTTATCTAAACAATTAATTTAATAATTCGACCAGAAAATGGTTGGATAACCACTAAACACCAATCCAGATCCTGCCGAAGTGACCATAAAATGGTGGAGCCACGTGTTTAAGGCTGCCGAAAATCTAGTTCCCCGGTCAAACCTCAAACCTATTACGCGAGATATTAACTAAAGTGGACTGTATATGCGATTGCTTCTACGCCTACATAAGGCGACTACTATAGCATGCGGTACAATGCACTCGCTCTTCCTTAAACTAAACTATTACTTGTCGAATCGATGAAAGGAATCCTGCTTGACTAGGAAAAAAAACACAGATTGGAGCGGGTTAAATTATTAGCAAGCAGGTATAATTAAGGAATATTGACTCACCGGGGTTTCTTCTTCCTGTCGATCACTATAGCGGCGACTTCCGGAACCTCCTCTGGACAGACACTTCTGGGGCCCCAGTGGTGCGTCAGGAGAGAAGCGTTGGTTCAACGACGACTGCGGCGGGAGAAGAGGCTCGCGCATCGGTCGCGCGTGTCTTATATATCCTCGGCTCGGGTGATTACGCGATGTTCTAGAATCGTCTTCTTTCCCCTCCCACCCCACCACCCCGATGTGTCGATAGGAGGGTACGAATGATATTGTTTGGAAAGGAAATAATGATTCTACAAGTTCCTACCGTCAAAATAAAAAACGCGAATGGTTTTCCGCGCAACCAATTTCAATGTGTAGTGTTCGCGTAAATATAAGAAATCATAATCAGGCGACGTTACTGTAGCAGCAATGATGTACGAAAGTCTGACTCCAATATGTGAAAACGCATGGGTTGGATTAAGGGATTTAATTCGTCAAGGTCACACGTTTCAAACGAACAGAAGTTTAAACTCCTTTGTAATCTAGCTCCCGATTTTATCTTCCCGAAGCCTAAGTATTTCAATTCAAATAATACAGTACTGGAAGTCAATTTCAGCCTACAAGAAATGTGTATTTGTTTTAAACAAAAAGGTACAGCGCCTGGTAACGAAGGGATAACATAGTCACTTATATATAATTTATCTCATGTCAGTAGGCTTTATTTGCTTGAGCTATATACATAATTATATCTTCAACTGATTATTCCATTTCAATGGCGTGACATATTGCTAACGCCGATTCCAAATGTCTCGAATAATAATAATGTTAAACTTAGGCCCATTTTTTAATATGGTGTGTCTGTAAAATTCTTCATTCAATACTGACAAAAAGACTTGAGTGGTATTTTGAAAAAAAAAATTATTATTTCAGTACAAGTCCGGCTTCAGAGGAGGACAGTCATGTCAAAACTGCTTAGTCAAAGTAGTAATCAAATTTAGATTTTCCCGTAAGATCCTTACTATAGCCTGTTTCCTAGATATCACAAATGCGTATAACAATGTATTAGTAGATATATTGATAAACGCTTTAGATGAAATAGGGATTGGTAAAAAGTTTTGTCAATATCTATGGAATTTTTAAGCGAAAGACACCTGAATAAGCACTTTATAAGATACACAAATCGAGGCTTGGCGCAAAGTGACCCAATTTCACCTATTCTTTTTAAAATAATTACCATTAAATGTTTCCAGGAGATTAGAAATGTCCCCCCCCCCCCGAACGGGTTCCCGCCTTGTCGTGGCGGGGGGCTTAGTAGCCGTGGCTTGGTCTCCCACGGTGAACTAAGAGGAACCCACGTGGCTGGCCCGAGGTGAAGGGCCGGCCTGAGGTGGCCACTCCGAGTGCGCTTGGGGAGCCCACTTCGGATGTGTGCTGGTGGACTGCAGCGAGTGGGGACTCCGCACCCTCTACCGCTGCAGCCGAGGTGGAGTCGCGGAGGAAGAGGAGTGTTGGTATGGCGATGCGCCACTCGCCCTATCCTCCGCGACTCAAACGGGGCCGCACCGTTGATGCGGTGGTGATGGGGCTGCGGGGGGGAGAGGATTGTCGGTATTGCGAGGCGCCGCTCTCCCTATCCTCCGCAGCCGAATCTTGGTTGGCGGCGGAGCCATATACCAGATCTGCCGCTGGGGTCGGCTAGTACTTCTAAGTGCTCATTTTTCCTGGCCCCATGGCCTTCATGGATTCTTCCCAAGACAGAAATTTTTTTTCGAACCAGTAGTAATGTAAAAAAATTGTGTAAAAAATATTGACTTTTAATAAGAATTACTTGTAATCTATATTGAATAAAAATTACGAGTATTCTATTCAATATTTTTTTATATTGCAATTTCGGGAGCTTTGACACATGTTATGAGTAGCCAATATAATGTCGTTATGTGCACAAGACAGCAAGAGTTTTTTTTTATTTATTTATTTCCCACTATACAATTATCTTTACAGGTTTATCACCTAATGCGACAATGTAGACAACTATTTTTACCAACTCCAACTACACCGTTACAAGTTAATAATTTTCGGTTATAAATATGTACTTATTGCTATTTAAAACACCGTATCTATGTCACGTTTAGTATTGTCAGTTCGTTGCAACATATAACTCGATGTGCCTCTGGTTACAGAGGTGCATCGATACGTTATGACGTTATATCCAAGATAGATGAAATAACGCCAAAAGGCGTCCAACTGAGATAGCAATGGTTTCATCGTATATTGTGTTACGGGGCAACGAAAAGACTGACATGTTAGCGAAATATGCAGTTAAGAATGGAAAGGAAACTAATATTATTTTATATTACTCAGAAATTTTACCCAAATTCAAAAATATATGTTAAGAAATGTGGAAGGAGTACTTAAACAAACGGTCACTAGAAAAAGAAATATGCTACAAAACCATGCTGTGTCAGCCTCTTTATGTGCCTTGATTTATGCATACTAGTTTAAGTGGGAAATAAGTTACTACTGCTTATATCATGTTCCTTGTGATATATTTGCCTTCTTGATGAAAGAAACAACTTCGCCAAATTGTGAAGACTGTGGCGTTACAGAAGACCTACACCATTTATTGATGAAATGTGCTCAATTTGAGTCTGCTAGAGTTAATTTAATAAGGATATAGAATTTGAACAGAACTGACGTAGGCACATATCATAACATTTTATTCCAACCAAATGGCAACGATGCGAAAGTTCTGTTCGAATCCATGGCCCACGTAGTATAATAATTAACGTAAATATGAGTAAGTGATATATGTTAGGGTATAATGGGACTGACATACGCTAAGCGGTAATTATCCCATATATGATTGTAGAATAAAATAACTAATGGTTCAGGACGACCAAGGAAGGACAACGGTCTCACAGAATGCTAGCGTCAAATAGCAGCTTAATGCTACTGTGTAGCTTTTGGTTAGAGGACGGGCGACATTTTTTCTGGGAACAAAACATTCCATCTTCGTCTTCAAGTTTGACAGGGAATCTGCATTTTGATTCTTAATCAACAATAGATATCGACGTCTATGGGCCACAGCGTCTACTTACTATCTAAGTAGGTGGAATATTTACTCGTTTATTACCTTTATTATTTTAAAAACGCAATATAAACGACGGAGCAAAGAAAGCAAGTATAAATATCAGCTTAATGCTGCTATGTTTTGTAAACAGAATGAGAAGACCCAGAGATTATTTGTACTGACAGCGAGGTATTCCATTTATACAAGCCGTTTATACAAGCCATAGCAATCACTTAGCATCAAATAAAGTTGAAAATCTCTTCTCACATGTATTTCTTACAAACTAAATTATATAATCCATAAGAGATCAAATGATTTCTTGCTCTGAAACCCTCCCAGATATGACAAGAGGCCTATGCCTTACTTGTACTTGTTTACACTTTACTGTCGTAAATTTATTGTTCTTTCTTACAATTTACATTTAATATTTATAAAACATAAATTATTTACTATATATTTTTATTTAACTTACCATTTCTGAAGCACATGCCAAGATATATGCTTGATTCAACTTTGCTTTTGTTATATTTTCAGGTTTCTCTAACAATTCGTAGGCATGTATTAAGAATTCACCTTGCAATGGAAACTTGGAAAATACAAAATGTTCTGATATCTGGAATAATCGTTTTTGTTTTTTTACATCATTTTTTACCTTTAGAGATAGTATACGAATGATAGAATTGTGTTTACCTTCTTGATTCGGTCCTTAAAAAGTGGATGATCAATCATTTATTTTTAAATTTAACAAATTATTAGAATTTTTGCCGACAGTTATGCAAAATGATATTTGTTAGGAATGACTAAACTAAAAAAATTGAAATTTTATCATTAAAAAAGTAGTCAATAGGCATTACGAAAAAACGAAAATTGATTGGAAAATATTTACTCGGTTATAACATCTCCAAATAGGTACAAAGGAGTATATCCGCAGTAGAACAAGACTATTATAACTGACGTAGCTCAATGGAATAGGCAAGGATCGTACGAGCAAATGGCGCCATTATGTCGCACGACGAGATTAAACACACTCATATCTTTAGAGTGTCTTAATTGAAGCTTGCAAGTAATCGCGCGATCACTAGAAATGCTTATTATCGATAGTACGATGAGTTTGATCGTACGATTGTGCAATCAAAGCTACAAATCTCTTTTGAGTGTTTTAACTGGAAACGTGGCATCGGGAGACAGCAGCAACGGTCTCTACTCGTTTTCTTATTCATCGTGCTATTAAATCGCAACGTTTTTTACCATATAGCATGTCTAAGAAATTTAAAAAATCAATGACTTTTGAAATCCGCTAATATGCATTATTACTTCATGGAATAAGGATGACAAAGGAACACACAGTCTATGTGATGGTCAGTGGATGCTGTGGCCTATAAACATCTACATTTATCCTAGAACAAGAATCAAAATGCAGATGCGTTGTCATCCCTGAGGACTAAGATGGAATGCCTCGTTTTCAGTAAAAAAGAGTCTCCGGTTCTCTACACTCACCATACGAAACATAGCAGATTCAGGCTGCTATTTTACGCATCTATCAAACGCCATAATATGGCGTCGAGTAATAGCAAACTATTTGTAACACGTATATGATATATATATATATATATATATATATATAACATACATATATATAACATATATATCTGTTATGAATAATCTGATTTCCATTGATATGATTTTAATGTACTTACTTAGTATATAATATATGTATATATACTTAGTATACTCCTGAACATACCACTGCTGAACATAGGCCTCCCTCAAGTAATGCCACAAAGCACGGTCCTGAGCCACCTGCATCCATCGACTTCCTGCATGTCTCACCAGGTCGTCACTCCATCTAGTGGGGGGTCGCCCTACCCTACGCCTACCGGTACGAGGCTGCCACTCGAGAACCTTTATTCCCCATCGGTTATCGGTTCTTCGAGCTATATGGCCCGCCCATTGGCACTTCAGCTTACTAATCCGTTGGGCTACGTCGGTCACTCTGGTTTCACTGCGGATATCCTCATTTCTGAGTCTATCACGCAGTGAAACTCCAAGCATAGCCCTCTCCATAGCTCGCTGAGCGACCTTGAGCGTCCTCATACGGCCAGCGGTGAAGGACCACGTCTCAGATCCGTAAGTCATCACTGGCAACACGCACTGGTTGTACACTTTAGTTTTCAGAGATTGAGGTATACCTGATGAGAAGATGTGTCGTAATTTCCCGAACGCTGCCCAGCCGAGTTGAATCCGTCGATTGACCTCTCGGTCGAAGTTGGACTTACCTAGTCGGACTATTTGTCCCAGGTAAACGTACTCGTCAACAACTTCGAGCATAGTGCTCCCAACAATTACCGGCATAGGTGTGACATGGACATTAAACATGATCTTTGTTTTGTCCATTATCATCTTAAGACCTATCCGTTGGGAGACACCATTGAGGTCATTGAGCATAGTGCTAAGGTCCTCCAGCGATTCTGCCATAAGGACTATATCGTCGGCAAATCGAAGGTGAGTGATGTACTCGCCATTGATTTTAATACCGTATCCTTTCCAGTCCAGTAGCTTGAAAACGTCTTCCAACGCAGCGGTGAAGAGTTTCGGGGATATAACATCACCCTGTCTTACACCTCTCTGCAGTTGGATAGGTTTCGTACTCTGGTTCTGTACTCGGATAGCCATCGTAGCCCTACTGTACAAACATTTCAGCACTTCAATATACCGACAGTTAACTAGGCATCGCTGAAGAGACTGTAGCACCGCCCAAATTTCGACGGAATCAAAGGCTTTCTCATAGTCCACATACGCCAGGCAAATTGGCAGATTGTACTCTTCGGACTTCTGTACAATTTGCCGAAGGGTATGTATGTGGTCTATGGTACTGAAGCCTTTTCTGTATCCGTCTTGTTCGGGAGGCTGGAAGTCGTCGAGTCTGCGTGCGAGATGATTCGTAATGACTCTCGAAAACAGCACGTAGACGCGGCTCAGAAGGGAAATCGGTCTGTAGTTCTTCAAGAGAGCGTTGTCGCCTTTCTTAAAGAACAAGACCACCGCGCTTCTGCTCCATGCCTCCGGAGTAATGCCACCATGGAGGACGGAATTGAAGAGCTTCTGAAGGACTTCAAGTACCGGTGTTCCACCCGCTTTCAGAAGCTCCGCTGTAATTCCATCCTCGCCCGGGGCCTTGCCGTTTTTAAGATACACATATATATATGTATATATATATATATATATACATATACATATGTATATATATATATATATATATATACACATATATATGTTATAATCATAATACTTACACTCAATTTTAGTTAAACATTTTTATGCACTGATTATTTATCAAATTAGTTATACTAATTCCGGAAGAATGTTGTGGTCACAGTACAAATCTACGAATGCAAAGGCTTTAACTTGCTTGAAATAAAGTTCATTTTCTTAATTTTTATTGAATGACAGAATTAGTAATAATACAAATAAAACTGCACTCTTAAAAGTCTTATTGCCTTAAGTTACGGCCCATTTCAGTTTGTTTTGACTGTACAGATTTAGTGTGACTGTAATTTACGTAGTTTTAATTATTTTTGGGATAAAAATTACCTATATTAAAAATGAATCGGTTCAGTAAACGATTCTGAACAAACTCCTTTCTCAAGGTGCGTTAATTATGTTACGCAACGACCAACTCCCCCTTCCCCCCCCCCCCTAACAGAATTTATTTAAATTTTAGACAAATATATCATACATCAAAAACAGCTATATGAACATATATATCTTGTGGTATTAAAGTTAATAAAAAAGAAATACTTACCGACTAGCACAATTTCTATAAATGGTAAAGATATATTTTTGCTTCATCATTTTTAAATCAACTAAAGTATTGTTGATATGGCTGGAATAGCAATCAACAGTGTCTCTGATTTAAGTTTGTCTTTCAAAGTAACCTTCAACTAAATCTCCCTCTACTTTGAAGTTAAATGTGCTCTCCATCCTCCATACTCACTTAAGTTTATCATCGAAAAGCACTTAACTTGTCAGTTAAATTCTTAACTATTAACAAAGAAGGCGACAAATGAGTTGGCATCCTCGAGGATAAAGATGAAATACTTCATATGATGTCTTTATTCTAACGCTAATACTCCCTTATGATAAGCCAAAATTCCTGCCTTGCATAGAAAATGTATCCTAATTTTAATAGCCGAAATGGTCGGGTGTTAATTTATTAACAAAACCAAGAGAATAAAATGAAATCCAAAAACAAGCATATTGTTAAAAAATATTCACTATCGGTAACACAAATGCTAATAATGATTATTTCGTCACTCGCTGGTTACTGATGTTTTCCTGGATGTTTATCTACTACCAAGCTAATTTGATAAAAATTAGATATAAAAAAAAAAAAACAATGATTTGGAAAGAAAGTATCTCAATTTACACCGTCGTAGTATCAGACGTCTAGCTGAGTATTTTTCGTTGAGGTTAAACTGGTTTACACAGCTGGCTTTCAGGAACCACGAGTACGTCCTAGTAATAGTGGCGACATCTGCGGGATGAAATGGGGCGGTCGGTTCTATTGCGCTACAACCTGCTAATTAAATGCATAAAATTTTAAAAAGTAATAAAACCACTGTGTCACTACCCTTATTTGTTTTAAGTTCCAAATAAATGTATAAAATTTTGTGTTCAAGGCATATAAAAAATAAGGTGAAAAAGTTAGATAAATGTACTGTAATAAATAAAGACGGTAATACAGTGTTCATTTAATTACGGCCGAGCGACACTGTCAATAACATGGCGGATAGTGACAGTAATTTATTACTCTAACGAGCTTATTATGCCACTGATTCAGTACGCATAATTACTGAGACGTAGATGTTCTATTATTTTGGCATGGCACATAGTACGAACAATTAATTAAGGCTCACTCATCTTTTGCTCTAATATTTTTAGCCGACTGCCAAGAAAGGGTTATGTTTTTCGCGTGTATCTTTTATGTATGCATATTTGTTTGTAAATTTCTTTATTACCTTCTATGTTCCAAATGGTTCCACAATTATTATAAATACCTTTTTATTCTTGCGCTCCTTCTATCTGATGTTGCAAATTGTTTGGATGTAGACAATTTCCTCAATATGTAACCTTCTGTTAAGGACCTGCATGACAAACTCGCTGTTATAAGTTATGCCCTCCACAACTTATTTCGGTACAGTAGCAAACTGCGGAGGACAGGATTATATTCAGATCCAGATTTAATTTCTTTATTTGTCACAACATAGATACAGGTAAAGGTGATACATCACTAAGAGTTTCCGCTACATTCTACCTTACGGCACGAAAATTTATAAAACTGAAAGATACAGATACTATAATGCACTAATATGTGCGCAAACTTCTAATACATTCTTCTAAGACATTTCAACGTAGCTGTATCGAGATCAGGTGCAGGACCAACGACTTTACGCCCTTTTCCGAGGCGCGGGCGTGCTCGTAATATCGCGACAGAAAAACCAATGAGTGATTTTAACTCGTTGAAGTTAAACTTCTTTAGGGTGGTTTTATCGTCACGCCGCTAGACGCGCCGCTGGGCAGCGTGCTGTTAACAGCGCGCGCTTGAACAGCGGTGCACTATAAAACGAGATTTGTACCGCGCGTTCCGCTGCTGTGACAGTCGTGTACAAAATGGCTTGGATGGAGGCTTGTCGTTAATGCGGTTGGATTACTGGCTGTTTACATTTTAT